TAATTCTCATTGATTATTGGCTGTTTATAATTCCTATTAATTGTGAATTCTGATTATAACAAAGAGTTAAAAAAAAAATTACGTAATTTACTGGCACCTCTTTCTTGTCAATACTCCAAGTCCAAGCTGAGGTAATAAACAAGACAATACATTTATGTCATCTGGAAGCAAAATATGCACACTAATTAATAGTTTGACACATTGAGATAATACATCATGACAGAAAATACAAGTTAAAGATATGTTTGACCGTCACATGGTAATTAAAATTAAAAAAAAAATTATTAGCGGCTATGGAGTATGAAAAGTTCAAGACAAAGAAAAGAACAAGAGTTTATAGCTCATGAACTCTCAATTTTGCCTCCATTGCTTTGTGAAGGCCAAAATATTTTGAGTGGCTGAATTGGTTTACCTTTATGATGGCAACGATTTTGTATTTAATATAGCAAGATTTTTTTCAATTTAATTAAAGTGATATTATTTCCCAGGCAATGCTTGAATCGTATAGAATAGATCAGTGGTGTCAAACTCATGGGTTTTTGAGAGCCGCATTGCGTTTTGGAAATTGTAAAAAGGGCCGCAAACAGTTTTCGATAATGTATACTTGAAAGATATTTTTAAGATAGTTTTAGCTTGTGACATATGTTGTGATGCAACTAAACAGTTGGATTAAGTTTCATTATTTTCTTTAATTTCAAATGCAATTACATATTAATATTTGCATTCCACTATTATTGCACGTTACTGTATTTATTACAAAAAATCATAAAATTCTATGTACAACCATCAAAATCATTTTTGAACAAACTTTGGATAAGTAAAGAATAATACACACTAAAAATGACTTAATTTAAATATATGAACCTAAAATTAACAAAAATACAACAGTATAAACTTAATGTTTTTTTAATTACATTTGTCCTGACGTTTGGTATCTTTTTTGTGTCACCAGCATACTAAGGCCAGGCTGAAATGATTTTATAGTACCAACTCTAACTAACGAGGTCACATGATCATGGGCTAATCTGGATCTTTGCGAATGTTTAATAAATTCCAGTAATGCAAAAAAGTTATTTTTATAATTTCATGTATAGATCAGTAAAAAAACAAATGACAGATTGCGCATTGCGTGGCATAGGATTGCTTGAAATATTATTGATATTGATTTTTAGTAACTAAGTCGTTGTATAATTATATTAATATACAAATACATGAAAATTTTCTGTTCAAAGTTGCTCTTCGAATTTGTCATATTGACTGCTGAGCTTATTGCGTTTTTTCATTGTATTGATGGAAATATGACAAATTAAACAATGTGCTTCAGAATTTTGTGAAATGCAGAAATATTGCAACTCTCCATTTTCTTTGAAAATACCACCTTCTTCATGTACTTTGCGTTTAATTTAATCACTCAAGTGTTTTATTCAAGTATTCTTTTGCTAGCTTGATGTGTATTCTTAATTGGGTGAAAATGTGAACAAAAAAAAATTAATATTTCAAAACTACTTTCAGTAAATTGTTTTCTGTGTGAATAATCAATTTCACTTTAAAAGATTTGAAAAATCTATTAAATTTAGATAGAAAAAAGCTTCCAAAATGCTATTACAATTATTGCTAAGCGTTCGAGGGCCGCACTGGAAGTTCTCTGGGGCCGCGAGTTTGACATCCCTGGTCTAGATTGAAGTTGTCCAAAATATATATAACAGTATTTTATCATGAATCATGATTATACCCTTTCCTGAATTTCTTCTATAGTACTACCAAAAGTTGATGGACCAAATATAACACAGGTGTAGTGAGTTACCCGTAATCCTCATTTTTCAAAGCTATTTTAAGTATGTCTTGCGTGTTTTGTACCTTTTTACAAATAGGACCGCTTATGCAATCTCACGCTTTAGAATTTTTAGTTATTTTCCTTAAGCCATGCAGGATGTGGGGGCCATACACAACTCTACCGGAGGGTCAAATGTCTTTGCATGCCTCCATAGGTTGTTCTTCTATTGCAAACATTTATGGAGTACTCTAATTATATTTCTTGGAATCACACGGTCACTGGTATGTCGCCAGACTTCTGATATCTCCCCTTCTGCTATAATTGTCCTGTGAATGAATGATAGGAAATTGAGATTAGACGATTAGTTGAAACTTTTGCTTTATGTCGGCTTAATTTCTTGATTGATATACGTACTATTTTAGCTATTGCCTCTTGTGCTGCAGGAGTCTCACAATGCTTAGACAGGTTTGTCCACAACATTCACATCTGAAGAAAGAGAGGAGATTTATTAATTTTCGTCAATAATAAATGAAGCAGTCTATATGATTTAGAATGGAAAAGCTAATAAATCCAATAAATCATGTTTAATGTAAAAAATGTTTTACTGAATTTGGTATATAAACCAACTAGTAAAGGGGTTTAGTCAGAAAATTACAAGCATTCGTGGCTCCATATACTTGAGAGATCAGACTATACAATATAGACCGGTATGAGTGAAATGTTAGGTGAACTTGTTAACCCTTTGATTCAATCCTCACTGATTAAAAAAAATCTAAATGAAGGTGCGTGAACTATTTGAAACCATAAGGGGTAAGTAAATATGCAATTTCGGCAAATGGGCAACTACGTACCGTACTGAATTAATAACTTCGTAGTATATGACAAAAGCTGGCTTTCCCACATGTTCTTAACAGTGCGATGCCCGGGTGTGATATACAACAATAGTATTTACCTTACCTTTTTCCGATTTCTTTTTACCTCAACTTTCCAAAATATCATTAAAATCGACAACAACTGTCAAAGCAGGCACGAACACCATTCGTGCTATGCCTTGAAAGCAGCACACATCCGCTCGTTTTCGTCTCGTCAAGTATGTGCATTGGAGCGTGCTATCGGATACGATCCTCGGCCAAAAATGCCGTAGTTGCGCATCATGTTGTTTAATGTCATTGATTGTAGAAACATCTTGATTTATATCGAATAACTGTAGGTAGATAGAACTATAATTGACTTTGCTACCGGTTGTAGGCTGTACTCGAGTACAGGATAAAATGAGAATGGATTTTTTTATACTTTAAACAGAGAAATCTCATTGTGGATAGCTAATATGTGCGATAAGTAACACTTAACGTGACAAATAGCGATAGTTAATGGATCATTGATGGCATAGATTTTGTTTGAACAAGGCAAAATCGCATGGAAGCTCAAGCCATGCATTTTATATTTGGTGCCGAATCCGCGAAATCTTCCTTTTTTGTGTATGCCAATGTTTCAAAAACGCCACTTCAAAGGAGCAGTGACGGTATAAAGTACAGCTCTATGAAACGTTAAATTGCCACCACGGAACGAAGCATTCAAAACATGCAGTAGCATGCAGAATTTGAGCCCTAAATCCGACACGTGAAAAATCGTGCTCTTCCACACTTGATTTCTTTCGCTGCAGCGATTATCTCCAGGGCAACGAAGATTTGACGCAAAGTATTTATTTTTATCGTTGGTGTGTAACTTATTTAGTTATTTTCCCGATTTGTTTATGTTTATGGGATAATAGGACGAACAGAATCTGAAAATGTCTCACATGGGTCGGAACCCGAATAAGAGTGTTCTCACGTAAGTCTTCTTGAAGTTAGGCTACTTACAGCTATACCACTTGACAGTTTGACAGTGTCCCTTAGTCTGTTAGTCCTATTATAAGTGAGGGGTCTCATGTAGTTTCTTACCTAACATACTTCTAGTGGGCGTAGCATGACAATTTTTTCATGTATCAATCCTGACTACACCGTCCAAAAATTACGTCAACACGACGTCACAGTGGCGTAAAATTGCCCTTCAAACTATACGAACTGCCATCCAAGACGCGCAAACGAGCACCCGAAATCGAACAGTTATTTCTCTCGTTTTCTCGTCGCAACGATTCCAAAAGGAGAGAGATCGATAACGTCAGTCAGTTTCTTATCTTCGGCGCCAATGCCATTTCGGGCGATTGTGCGTATATTTGGCAAGCTCTATGACGTGATTGTGATGTCGTAGTGACTTAATTTTTGGATGGCATAGTCAAATGGGGGTTAGGATTGACATATCAAAAAAAGTACCACAAGTACTTTAAGTTGGCGTAGCAAAAAGAATTTTGCATATGTTATTCCTAACCCCCACCTGACTATGTCATCCAGAAAATTACGTCACCATCACGTCATAGAGCTTGCCAAAGCATAATGACGATCCCCCAAAATGGCATCTGCGCCGCCGATAACGAACTTGTGATCGTTGCGACGAGAGAACGAGAGAAATAGCTTGCTCGATTTCGGTATCCATAAGAAAAGCGTTCCAACTTACCCAATATTTGTCACCATAAGGGACAACCCTGTCTTTACGGCCCACCTGCCGTGGTTAGGACAGCAAAATTTTACCTGCCATTGGTTTTCAATTTGCTGCCGCGGTAACGGCAGTCTGTCATTGGTTTGTGGCAGCTAAAAAGTCAGTCTCCATAGGTTTGGCCGTAGCGGCCATGGTATGGATTTACAGCCATGGTTTTACAGAAGCTGCAGACGCCACAAAATACTTAAAACTGCACTTGGTCAGGTGGGGGTTAGGAATGACATTTGCAAAAATTGTTGAGCCAGGCCAACTATAAGTCCATGTGGTACTAAACGGTAGTAGTGACGTAATTTTTGGATGGCGTAGTCAGGTGGGAGTTAAGATTGAAATGCGCAAAAATTGTTATGCACGAGACTCTACTAAACTATACCAAACCCATTAAGTGTAGTTGGCGACTATGGTACTGTTACTTTGAAACTTACCACAGGCCATGTGAATTAAAGTCCAGAAAAATGTCTATTATTGAATACATTTGTCACACAGTCATAATTTATCCTAAATTTGGGGATACAGTTGATTTTTCAAAATGCATATATTTGTATATGGGATTAGTATGATTCTTGTATTGTTTAACCCTTTTTTTTCGCTGTATACAATCGACTTTTTGTACCATTTTATAATATGTAATGACCAGTTAACCAAACGTACAAGGAACACCCCCAATATCTCTTTAAAAAGCTTATTTTCGCGTCTTCCTACTAAAACGCGCTCAAATGACGTAGGCGCAAACCGTTCGACCCTACGCCGGTAAGAAGAGAGAAATTTCAAAAAATTTTAGAGAACGTTTCACACTCTTATCGCTTCGATGAACACATGTTACAAAGACACGAAATTCCAAGCGCTCTTCTGAAAGAGCGTTACGTCACCTTTGCAGAAAAACCAGACTCAGCTTCGCAAGCGAAGCGAAACGCGAAATAATCAATGATATGTGAGAGCATGTCCACAATAGTTGTCTGGAATCTTTGTTTGTTTATTATGTGCGGGAAATTGTTTCCCCCTCGTTCAAATGACCTATTTTTGAAGTAGTGGCAAATACTTTCGTGTATCTCTAAGCTTTGAAATACCTACACAAATAAAATTCACTTAGTAGTAAAATAAAAAATTCACAAAAAAAAAAATGTTGACAGATCAAGCACGGATCATAGTTGGATGCCTAAAATGAGTTTAGTTTAGTGTGGAATACTTCACAAAACATGAACATAAATGTAAAATAGTCCGAAAATGACTATTATGACCAAGGATGGTAGTACGAATATATTCGTCATACGGAACAAAAGAGTTGTAATATTAAAGTGCTTTTGACATATATTTCCTGATTTCTCAGTAAGATTTTTAGGTCAAGATTTTCATATTCATCATTTTATGTTTTTCAATTTATAAATTATTTCATATAAAGATAAAATGTCTACAACTCTTATATCTAGGTCTCGAATGACTGGAAATCGCACAAGCGGAATTCTCACAAACACAAGTCAAAACAGGTTTACGAGTAGAAGGAGTGATATTACCGCTTCACAAAGTCGCAAAAGTGTGAGTGTGAGTGAATCAAAATTGGGAGATTCAAGAATTGGTGGACATGTTGGAAGAATTGTAAGCTTCATTATGTTGGCTATATTTCATTATTCTACTTCATTTTGTTATACTCATTTTTCATATATTGTAGATTGGACTGCTTTATAGTTGATTGTGTGTTTTTATATTCAAAATGTTTTCTTGTTCGGAATTCAAAACCCATTTTAAATTCATCTCGACCAACAAAACCTGTTGGTTGTTGCGTAAAGGAAAACTTCTATATCAAATTTGTTGAGTGACGATTTTATAGTACTGGCATTAATTTCATTCATAACTAATAAATTTGATATTATGATTCTTATTTATTGAGATATGCTTTTTTGGTTAAGTTGAAATTTCATTTATACTAAACTTTCTAAAGATTCTCATTCAACGAATTAATTTTAATCAAATTAAACTTTTTCTATTTTAGGTGAGAGATGAAGATGGAAATGATGTTACTCCAAAGCGATTGTTCATTCAAGATCCGAGTAATGTACCAAAACATCAAAGTCAATTATTTGGGAGTGATCAATCAACTGTGGGAACACCGACTGATTTCATGTCTGCAGCATCAATTTATCAGACGGGGACAACCAGTGCATACGCACAACCTTTCAGCAGGTGGTTCAGAATTTTGGTCCTATACTTAAGATTTTTCTACATGATTTTTATAGTTATTTTTGAATACTTTCATATACTGTATATGAAAATATGACTATAAATGGTACAAATGACTTGGTAGGGGCCTAAATTTCCTAAAGTCAGTCATTTCATTCAGCAATAGCAATTTTTATAGTCATGATAAATTTTAATCAGATAATCAGAGATCCACATTTTGATCAATTTGTTAGGTTTATTAGGCTATGAGGAAGGAAAAGAAAGATTGATAAGACAACTCAATCATATGGTGAACCACGGCTTCTTGTCCGGTTACCAGTCCAAGATGGGTATGGGATTAGTTGGCCAGTTATTTGTTTTCGGAAGCATGGACTTGATGGTGGAGCAAGCCGTAACCGACCAGCGGTTATGTGAACCACCCTGTGACGATGAGGAGTCCAACAATTCTTTTGCACATGGGATTCAAACCTGTGAACCCACGCAGGGCAATCAGAGGTGCTATGGCAAGTCTAGTCCTGACGCTTAGCATGATGCACCACACTGCCGAGCCAATCTAATACGCATCCATAATAGCCCTATTCAATTCATTCCATTTTTCAATACAGGTCCATATTTGATGCCACATCTAATCGTTCAGCGAAATCCAAGACAATGTCATCAATCGATTCTAATGGTGAAATAACAGAAGGTGGACCTGAAATAACCACAGGTTTAGCAGGTTCGAATTTTTTTTCAATAATTTGGTTTTGATCAATTTCTTTAATATACTGTGAATTTGGATTCCCATGTGAATTTCCAATTCATTTAACATTCAGATGTTCAAATTATGAGACAGGAAGTGAAAGAAATTTTGAAAGAAGAGGATTTAAACAAAATCGTTGATATCACGTTAGAGGAAAGCGATACAATTTGGTTATTTGAACAAAAACAAACTGCTTTGTCCACAGAAGGAGAGGATTTCGCAGATATTGAGTGAGTTTAAAATAAACTTAGAGCATGGATGGTGAACCTTTTTGAATGAGTGGGTCAAAAAAAATTTTACCTTGGAAAAGAAGACTGTGGGTCATAGATTTTAATCAATGTCTGCATGAATGAGAAACTTCATGTTGCATTATTTCTGCAAGTCATGGAATCCTTGGTTGATATTGTGCAGTTTAAAGCATTACACATGTAGCACTTATATCACGACAGATGCGATTTTTGGTGCTCGATTTTACAAAATACATCAATACGGATTTGCATGCATATGCATTTCCAAAACACGTTTATAATGCCATGGCAAATTTTTAAATGGTTTCAAAAAAATTTGAATGGAAATTCCACTCTGAGGGAATTGTATTCATCCGTCGTCTTTCAATCACATTAAAGGTATTACCATTCAGTTCAATCGTTTCTTTAGATTTGAATTTTGTGAGCCGTAGGTCAGTGGTTCGCCATCCCTGAGTATGGTTGGATGTAGACTGAGAACACTTTCTCACCATTAAAAATGCTCTGGAATAAATTGCACCGAAAAATTGATTAAAAGGAAATTGTACTAGATGTAAACCGTAGAATTTAAGAAAAGCAGAATACAAGCATAAAACTTGGACACCTAAAACGGAGAACATCTTTGGTAGACAGAGTTACAATAAACACTGCTTTGTTAAAAAATCAATATCCTTATTTTTGTGACCAAGCTGCCAATATTACATTGTCTGTAATACAGCTGCCAACTGTCATAATTCCATAAGTTATTCACAAGATTCAAGTTATTTTATAATGTACAATAGTAGATTATACAGATGATATTCATCAGACCATAATGTATAGCAATTTTTCCAAATGTTAGCTATGTCTAATTGTATTCAGTAAACGAAATCAAGCCTATGAAGAATTGGTCAAATCAAGAGCTGGCAATGACAGATATGTTGCAACTGGAATGCAGACTTTTAACGATGCTTTCAAACACAAGGATATTCAAACAGAAAGGGTATGCTATATGGATTTGGGCTATTTTCTAATTTGAATAGTCTTAAAACTTGTTCGGGATACCATGTAAACCATTGCCCTTTACAATATAGCATGGCCGTGTTACATGCCATATTTTTTTTTGAAATTTTGTATAAATCATGATGTAATTACACTGGTCACTGGTTAGGCTTTTTCTGACTACTATGTACACATCAGTAGGTTCGAATCTCAGGAGGGATAATTAGGTTTGAGAGGATTGCTAGACTTACCATCATAGGCTGGTTCACACAACTGCTGGCCTGTTACGGCTTCCTCTACCATTAAATCTATGCAGTCGAAACAAATAACTGTTTCACTCTACATGAAATGGTAACTGGACAAGCGACCATGGTTTGCCGTATAATTTATCTGTCTTATCGGCTTCCCTCTCTTCGTGATAAACCATCCTAACATGTCACTCGAACCAAAAACTTGCCGGTTACCGGTATGTATTTAACATCTTTTTTCATAATATGTAATACTGTATTAAAATATCCAGATCGGCCTAGTGGAAACCGGTGTAACTGTAACAAATTGGGACATGTATGATACCTACCAAAAAGAAGAAGCGAGCAAGCCACCAGCCACATCAACCGGTCGAGCCACCGCAACATCTGGTGATATCAGTCGACCAATGAGTACCATGAGCGTGACAGGCAGCAAACTTAAGAGTGAGGAAGAAAGTATGTCAACATCACAAATTACAGGTTTGTCTCAATATTTTATCAGAACTATGTAAAAAGTGTGATGAATCTGATGAGAAAAGCACTTTCAGCTATCAATTGATGAATAAGAATGCCCATAATCATTTTCTCTTTCTGTAACATGATTATTTATGTGCACTTAATGGGTCTTGTGTAGTTTCGTACCTGAAGTCCTTCTATTGGGGGCAGCATATCGATGTCACAATCAGGTCATAGAGCTTGCCCAACTATTCCAATGATCGCTCGAAATGACATCTGCGCCGACAATTGATAACTCACTAACGACAGCAATTTCTCTAATATCGAGATCGTTGCGACGAGAAAACGAGAGAAATAGCTTGCTCGATTGCAGGTGATTGGATGAATCACTAGACCACATTTGATTTAGTAACATTGATTAAGTACTTGCACCAAAAAATTAAAACTCCTAGACCTGAGTTTTACTGCTATGTTTGTTGATGTACACCATTCGCTTTTTACTTAATTGTATCTAACTTATAAATAACTCTTTTTGAAACAATAATCTTACTTTCAATAGGAAGCAGGGCCAGTATGATAACAGCATCTGTTGCTGGAGAACCGGAAAACGAATCACGTACAAGATCAAAATCTGTGGTATCAAATTATGATCCGAACTCAGACCCCGCAGTGGAGGCAATTTTGAATTCAGATGAGTTGAAACAACACTTAGTTGTCATGGAACGCGTTGTCACAGAAAATATTTATCAACCAAGACAAGCAATGTACAGAGGATTGAATGTTATTCGTGGTTAGTATTGCAATATAAAGACTTTATAATTCTCTTTTTTTTATTTGCTTCGATATTTTGACCTTTGCTTCTCATATCCTGCAATTAATCACTTTCTGTAATTTTTGCAAAGTCTGTTGGCGGTTCTTGGTCTTGGATTGTAATATTATATAGGTTAAAGGAATTTGAAAAATTTAGTTTAATAATGGTATTTCCGGGAATTCTAAACACACAAGAGTTCACTCTTAGTTGTTCTTTGGAGGTCATGTACAATAAGATTCCTACTTTTATCGCTTTCCTTATCAATTATACTAATTAGTCTATTGCTTAATAATCTTCACCAATAATAGCATTATTAGTTCATAATTTATTATTCAGTCTCGGTTCCGAGTTCTGAGACATCAAATTATTTGACACTTGAACACAGTGTCTGACTTATATCAAATTTTAATTATGGAGAGTTAGTGTAGGTGTAGGCTTCATGTTTGTATTACCTCACTATGTTTTTTTTACAGATATTATAATGGCCAAAAACATTTTTTGGTTTGCTCTGACTGTGAGCTCTCATTTGTTAACATTTGGCGCACAACCTGAACTCAGCAGCTGAATTTAGAATATCCGTCTAGTCCGATAATTGCATTTAACAGTTCAGAAGCTATTTCTTTACAGATCCAGATAAAGTAGAACCTGAAAAGGATAATGCAATTGTAGGATCCCCTGATCTACTGATGACAATGGGACCAACTTTGGATAGATTGTGGGCATACAGCTGTTCTATTACAAAAGTAATATTCCATAAAATATTTTTAGTTCACTATATTTCTTTTATAAATAGATATAACACAGATCAAATATCCATATTTTATCCACAAGTTTGGCAATATTGTATTGTTAACGCCTCAGATATATTTTATACAAAATTTGGTATGGTGATAAATATTCAGCAAATATTGGTGATGTTAACTTTTTCTTCAGGGTCCGGTGTAAATTCTTTTAAAAACAAAGGATATTTGCCCTAGATTTTAGCTATTCACTATAATGGTTTAGTATAATATGTGTCTACTATAATCAGGAAAATTCCATGTTCCTGTGTAGTTTCCCTAACAGTGTTGATTATTTGAAATTATTCAAGTTACACACCAACTGATAATTCTTTAGATATTTATATATTTATGTGGGGTTCTTGGTGGTTGAACGTTTGCCTGCATTTTTTTTTATTATTATTAGTCTGCATAAAAAAATGAAAATTTTTAGAAAGTACATAAACTGAGAAAAACTTAGGGAAATTACTGAAAAAATTGAGAGCCATTCATTATATTCTTCGATTAATTTAGGGACGAAATGTTTCTGGAATGGCGTGGAACAAGATGAATAAAGACATTTTAGCAGTAGGGTATGGACAGTTTGGATTTAATGAACAGAATAAAACAAAGAATGGACTGGCCTGCTGCTGGAATTTGAAGAATCCTGAAGTAAGTGGCACCAATCAATGAATCAAGATTTTTTTTTCCTTCGATCATTCTCATGAAACAATAGATTATTCGAACCAAACTGTAACTGCATCATGTATGGATGAGCTTATAAAGTAAAAACATTTCAACATTTCATTCTAGTATCCTGAAAGAGTTTTTCACACAAAGGCTGGGGTGACAGCAATTGACTTTAGTTCTGCAAATCCTAATCTTCTCGCAGTCGGTTTATATGATGGAACAGTCTGTATATATAATGTACGTTCAACAAAAGATTCTCCAGTTTTGGATAGTTTGTGAGTAACAGAAGATTATTTTTTATGAAAAAACCTAAGATGACTTCGAATAGCGATCTGATATTTATTGACGGAATGGGACTCAAATTGTGGATATTTATGTACACTTGCAAATGTGGTAGAATTAAAAAAAATTAATTCTTATGCATACTTTATGATGCTTGTATATGTGGCAGAAATATTTTGACTTTTTTTAAATATGACTTTTCAAAGAAGAATATAACAATTTTATTTTTTAATTTACCATCAAATTTTCAGAATATCCGGGATTTTTATTTAAATCAGACTTCTTCTGTTTTCTCCATCCATGGTGGAGCCTACAACAATTTGTTGAAATTATTATTCCAAATCATTACAAATCTATACTGTCTTTGGCCATCGTTATATTTAATATCAAGATGACACTTAAATTTTTAGTGAATGTATCGGAAAACATTCAAGTCCAGTATGGCAGCTATGTTGGATTGATAGAGATCGAGGTACGGGAGATGAAAAAAGTGAAGTATTGATATCTATCTGTGCTGATGGAAGAATTGTACAATGGTCAATAAGGAAAGGATTTGAATGCACTGGTAAGTAGGTTAATGTGACATTGTTTTTGACATACTTTGATTTTCTCCAACTATTTATTTTCATCATTTCTATATCAGAAATTTGTTTCATTTACTAAACAGAGCAGATTTGTTTTACAAGATGACAATTATAGAAAACCAGAATTTTCATGTTTTATATGGAAATAATACAAATAATGTCAATGTGTTACAGATCAAAAAGTAGGTGTATGATTTCGAAGAAACGTTTTCGATTGTATTCAATGATTAGACATCTATTTACCACATACGCCGTCTAATTGCCACTTAAGATAGAATAGGATTTACATATTTATTCCAAGGGAGAGGAAAGTCGACCATCGGTTACGTGAACCACCCTACGGCGGCAAGGAGTTCAGCAATCTTCTAGCACATAATTAACCCCACGGGAGATTCAAACCTGTGAACCCTCGCAGAGTAATCAGAGACGGGTGGCGAGCGTATTCCAAACGGTTAGCATGATGCGCCACACCGCCAAGCTTCTTTGTTCTAATTGCTTGATTTCTCACAGTAATTATTTAAGTACATACCAATTAGAAACAAAAGACATGCGCTGTAGTACAAGTCTAATGATATTTTGTACAATTTAGATTTGATGAAATTGAAACGAACAGTTGCTAAAAACCAACAAAAAAAGAAGGAAAAGGCAGAAGCATTCATTTCAAGACAAGCCCCTGGGTTATGCTTTGACTTCCACGCTAAGGTTAAATTTTATTTTTTCATTAGCCGCTCAAGGGAGATTGCTAAGTTGTAGAAACCATATAAATATTCTTAAGGAAATGAACTCAATTCCAAATTGATGTACAGTAAATATTCGAAAACTGGCTGACAAAATATTTTCTTCTGCATATGTTTGCAGGACACATTTCTAGTTAGTGGTCTACCACAAATCTACAATATGCTTTATACTTTTTTTATAAAAGCTTACTCACTTTTCATGGTGAGGACCATTTCAGAGACCACAAAATCATACTTTCTTTACCCAAAACAACAAATTCGTCTCTTTTTGCAGAATAGAGTAAGAGTCATCTTGTATACACAAAACCAAATACTGTTATTATAATTTTATTTAAGTAGAAGACACATTTTTACAGGACACAAATATATATTTGGCTGGAACAGAAGAAGGTGCCATTCACAAATGTTCCTGTTCTTACAATGAACAGTACCTTGATACATATGTCGGGCACACAGGACCAATGTATAAAATTCGATGGTCTCCCTTTTCTCCTGATGTTTTCTTATCATCTAGTGCAGATTGGAGTATCAGGTGATAATTTCATGAAGCAAATCACATTGGACTAACTAATTAGGCAATAGTTGTGATTTCTCTCTACTAACTACATCGATGCACATGATTCATGTCAATTACCGTATTTTACGGACCAAAAGGTGCACTTTGAATCCTTTTTTCTCGAAAATCGAATGAGCGCCTTATAAGCTGGTGCACCTAATATAATATGGATTGGGTAAGGCTTGATGCTTCATTGCCTACACTCAAAACCAGTACCGGAATTCTTTTTTATAAACAAACTGCGTTTTATGTTTTCTTTTGAATAAAACATGATAATTATAAAAAGTTTTTGCGTTTAATGAGCTTAGTACAGTAAGTCGATACTCCTCAAAAACAGTTGCGTCTTGTGTGTGGACAAGAACCCAATCTAGGCAGTTTATCGACAATGTGCCTGATGGTCCTTAAATTACGATTCTATTCCTTCACAATCTGAAGCAGAAGCTCAAATTGGGGTTCACCTTCTTGGGATAGATATAAAAGGCTTTAAATATGAATTGCTATGAAAAAATTTTATCACAGTTTTATTCTATGTGACTTTTGCGATTTACTCCTGTGTTCATATCACTCAAATATTAAGAAAAATAATTAAAATACATACATATGACATTTCCTTCTTACAAGAGAAGTTTTGAGTATTTCTCACAACTTGCTCTTCATACATTGATGGTGGTTCAGAGCTCTACCTTGTGTACATACACGATTTCCCAGAAAACTGTAGAATCTTTCCTTGGATTACCTGATTCACATTATTCTTGCACAGTCACCTGTTTTTTCACTCAAACTTGGGAGATATTAAATGAAGCTTCTTGTCAGAGGCATATTTAATATACATATTTGCTATGGAGTCAGATCCGAACTCTCAAAATTCCTGAGTCAAAATTGTAGGAGCGGAAAATAAGTCAAAACTTCCCCCACTTAAACAACAATAATTTTACCAAGAGTTCTTACAGTCTTATTGATTAACCAACCATTCATTCCATTTCAGGTTATGGATGCAATCAGAATTGAAACCTGTCCTTAATTTATTTTCATCAACCAAAGCAGTTCATGACATTTGTTGGTCTCCATATAACCCCACGGTCTTCTGCTCAGTCAATGAAGGTTCAGTAGAAATTTGGGATCTTTCCATTAATACGTAAGTTTACTGGATCAAAATTATTACTTTGCCAAGTAACTATATTTTTTACACTTTCTTTCACACTGTTTGTGATCAAATTGTTTTTTTTAAACTTGAATTTTGTTACAATTTCTTAGGCTGGATCCAATCATTGTAAGCTTGGCAAGTCCAGGTATCAAGTTAAGCTGCGCAACGTTTTCTAAAAATTCCAACAGTATTCTTGTTGGGGACAGTGATGGCCAAGTATCTATTTATCAATTGAGGGACATGGGTGGTACATCTACGAAACAGGTAAATACTGCCAGTTTTATATGATTTGTCATATACAGTATGTGGAATAGGATAGGAAAGCCTATAAGGCGACTTAATCATATGGCGAACCACGGCCACTCTTTTCCGGTTACCGGTCTATGTCAGATATGGGATTACTTAGCCGGTTGCTTGTTTTCAAATGCATGAAGCCGTAACCGACCAGCGGGTATGTAAACCACCCTGCAGCGGCGAGGAATCCTGCAATCCTCCCGAACATAATTATCCCCGCATGGGATTCGAACCTATGAATTCATGCAGGGTAATCAGCGGTGCAGTCGCGAGCGAATTCCTAACGCTTAGCATGATGCCCCACACCACTGAGCCAAATATTCAAATAAAATTTCCCACCATTTAAACCTCGCATCCACACAAGGTATTCATGTTCACCCTGTTTTCATTTTCAGTCAAATGCTTTGATGAGCCTGATTGAAAGCACATTGAGCAGTCAACTGCAACGAAATGATGACAAGAACTGAAAATATATTTCTTTGTTATATTTATATCAGATAAGTTTTTAATAAAATTATTTTTTCAAGCATGCTAGTTCTCTTTCAAAAAAGTGAGGATTCTCCTATAGTTCTAAAGTGCTGTTTTCCGTAGTATGGTTTACATTTATACAGATGAAAAAAGTGTAGTGCGGCATAGTCAAAGCTTGAAAGAGTACCGCATGCTTTTTTTCGAATAAAGCAACAGGTGTCGCGGTTTTCTGCATTTCCTTCACCCTGAAATACCATTCCTACTTCTTAATTCACAAAGTGTATTTATGTATTGTGGGAAAATAAACTAATGATTGTACAACTCCCAAGGTGGTCCTCACCCACTTTGTGGTCTGAAAAGTGTATACACAACTGTTGCACCTTCAGTTTAAAGGTATGTGTAGTAAGCTAACCTGATGGCTCCGACAATATCCCAGTGTCATTATATATAATATTGTTCAATCTGGAGCTAACAGGCTAATTTTTGTGCAGAGGTGCGGCCGATCACAGTTCACATTAAAGATTTAAACCAGGACCGACTTGGTGATTCTAGAATTCGATTTTTTCAGCCTTGGCTCCCTTCTTTATTGTAGTCGAAAACTTGGGCTGTGGATTCACTCCTTTAACTTCTAATACGAATTCCCACTAACTACTCGTTTGAAAAGGGATATTAGTTTACTAGCTGCACACAAAGTTACGTTTTTTCCATTTCATTTAGAACTCCAAAATATTTCTTCTTAATTTATTTTTCAGCACTGCTCTGTTGGAATAGGAGACTGCGGGTTCAGTTAATAAGCGCTATAATATAAAACCAATCAATCATGCTTGTATGGGAATGATGGCCCTCACTTAATCTATAAAATTGAAAATAGTATTAAATCTGCAAATTTACCAGAGCAATAAACTTTTATTTTTATAAGTGGCAAAGACAGAAATAAGTTGGCGGAAAATAGATTCCTTAACAGCTAAGTCAAGGGTACATTGTGAAAAAGCTAAATTATCATCATTCAAGAATCGATATCTCAATTTCCACTAAATAATATATTGATTGCCGCTTCAACATTTCCTTGTGTTGCAGTTAATGCATGCCTACTGGCTTCATCATCAGTTATACCCATTGAATGAAGCTGTTCAAGTCCTGCTCGCATTACATCCTCACTTAACACAGAATCATTGCTTCTTGGAGCAGAACTTTCACTTTGTAGAGATTGAGAGACTTCTCGAAGACCAGTTGACATTAATGCTTCTTGCATCGCTTGGTTTAAAGCTTCTGGTGTGAGCTGCTGAGGTCTGGTTTCATTTCTTTCTTGAGGTGTAGTTGATGTATTACTGGTTGTGTTTGAGTTTGGTGTATTGAAAGCTGAATATGGAAAATTGTAGCCCTCACTCGGTGGTGTCGCTTGCGCAATAGCGGCAGATAATTGAGATAAAGTTATCATATTAGAAGCTTGGTTTGAAGATGAAGGATGACTTTCATTTGACTGACCCGCATCCACGTCCATAGAAACCGTACTGCTTGTGGAAGCTGCTGTATTGGAGTATTTACTGGAGGTCATCAATGTATTCCACATTGCCTCAAAAGCTATGGCCAAACAAGGGTGCTTTTCAACAATATTTTTCAAATATTTTGGATTAACTATAACTTTAAACAACTTTGCATTCTGCAGAATATCCATTGCTGCACGGTCCTCTCTGAGCCCTGATATGTTTGAAAATAATTTTGTCAATAGTTTTTTTATCTTTCAAAAGTTTGGTAAGTGCTGATTTTTTATGCGATCGATTCTCATGTTGAATCATGGTAGCCAAACCATAAGAAGCATTTTGCACTTTAGCGTAATCTATCTTCGGAACATCCGGTTTTGTTGATGGTAATTTCTTTCTAATAGCATGGAGTCTATTACCTGACTGCAATCCCCACTCCTTTATCTCTTGGTCAGGATTACAGTCTAACCGTTTCAATCCAAAATACAACTCGTAATCGTCCGAAGATAAACCAAATGTTGAATTGATTTTTTCTTTAAATTGTTTATAAATAGGTGATTGCACATCCCAAACTATCTGCTCAGATCTGTGGATATTTTCATTATCTATATAAGACACATGGAGCTTGAATGAGTTCTCCATGCTTTGTAATTCATCAGATAATCTAAATGGCAAAACAAAAATGACAGTTAACTGTAATAAAGTTGTTCTAATACAGAATTGATTTATTAGGAATAAGTTGAATTTCAAAAGAACAAGGTCGCCACTCGCCACACTTGTACAATACTGCTACGTAATAATATGGAATTAGTCAATTCTGATATATGGTAGAGGCATTCCATTTCCATATAAAAAAAAACTTATATATTTATTTGAACAACTTTCATTTTATCCAAGAAAGGTGTTTTTCATACATTGTGAAAATTTGTTTGATTGATTTGCATGGATGGTTGTATCCCAAATTGAACGGACATTGCATTCAATACATCAACCTTTTTCTGAGTAAGAAAATCGCCAGAAATGACCATGCCTTATGCTTACGTAAATATAACTTACTATCATACAATTCTGTACAAGTGGATTTTTCACAGTAAAAATGCCCACATTTGTGAGGCCATAAACATTTGAACTGTTATACCCATATGTCCTACTTATTTGGGAAATATGTCAACATAAAAGCCTCGAACAGGGTGACCTAAAAAAACACAACCCAGGTCATTCAGGATATATTCTAGACTCTAAGAGTTAACATAATTTTTGTGCGGAGCGTCTTACATTGCTGAAACTTTCGGGTACAATAAATCACTTTATAAGAGTTGTGGGTTCTGTTCTTTGGGGTCACCCTGCACATACAAGAGTGGAGATAGTTCAATCGATCAAAAATTGAATTTCAAAATTTAAAATTACATTTAAACAGGCCTAATGATCATAAAAATTTTAATTTAGCAGCTTGTTACTGAAATTATAAAATTCTGAAAGATGTGACTATTCGATAACATAAAAGACAATCATATTCAAATACAAGTATCAAATATGTGTTTTTTATTTTGCGGAGGAACAATTTTGATTCTGCCATCACCAGGTATTCAAGCAGTATGATCAGTCAAATTAATTAAGGAAGGTTGCTTTATCACCAATCATTGTCTGCTGGCATAGGACGGGTCACACCGAACAAAAGTGAACTAGATCCTAGTTCACTACATATATTTTGTTCTACATATTCACTTTTTAACAATTTGTAAAACATCTTCGTGACATAATTGGTGAGTCAAGCCTACATGTTGACCATTGTATTTTGCGCTCCTTCCCCAGACTTGAGCATATTTAAAACCTGATACTAACGATCTATGCACAGCATGGCAAGCATGCTCCACAGTACAATTTGCACGTAAAATCAACCCATCACTAAAGTCTGGCTTTTTTGCAGGCTTTTTTGTATATACAGTCATAAGAGCCAAATACTCCCACATTTTTTCGAGTAGATAGTCTAAATTCAATTTCATGTTGCAACTGATGACAACACTATGTGGTTGTCGTGCGATCCTGTCAACCTCCTCAATTGAAATTTGATCAATTTTATTGTAAACATAAAGGCATGACATATATTTTCTATTCCCAACTACAACATCAATAAATTCGTCTGGTCCATAATCATCGCGAAAGAGAACTTCAGCATTAAAAATCTTGTATTCGTGAAGGATTAGTTGAACCATTTTCTCGTTTATTTTTGTCAACACGCATGTAGAGTTGAATGACAGTCCTCCACCTTTTTTAAGTTTGAAGTAAATATTTGGAACCTTTTTGTTGAGACGAATTCCCACGGCTTCTAACTCTAGGGTGAGAAGTTCTTTCTGTTTTTCACCCTTTGCAGCATCCAGCATCATAACAACAACATCTGCTGTTCTACCAACTGCAATGACTTGACGACCTCGACCTTTACCACCCGCTGCACCTTCGATAATTCCTGGTAAATCAAGAAGTTGAATATTCGCCCCATTATATTCAATTACTCCAGGGATGCAAGTCAAAGTTGTGAACTCATAAGATGCTTGCTCACTTTCAGTGTTGGTTAACGTAGACAATAGAGTTGATTTGCCGACAGAAGGAAATCCAATGAGAGCTACGCGGGCATCACCCGATTTCATGACATCAAAACCTTCCCCTTTTTGTCCAGATCCCTTTGGCCCTTCAAGAAGTTGAGCTCTATACTTTGCTAGTTTAGCTTTCAGCAGCCCAAGATGATATTCAGTGGCTTTGTTTTTTTGTGTCCTTTGAATTTCCTTCTCAACTTCCGATATCTTCTCTAAGATACCCATGGTTTATAAGAAACTTACGAGTGTTCTCTCCAATTTGAATTCCAGAAGCAAACTAGAGGTTGATAGTCTAATTATCTTTCAAATTCAGTAATTTACAGAATAATTTTTATAGGGTTTTCCCCAGTCCACATTCACTTATACATTAACTGCTGAATTGAAAAACGGTATTCAATAAAACTTGATACCATTTACAAATTTAGCAAATAGATCGGTACCGGTATACAGGTATAGTTTAGTACCTGCTGCATAAAGCAGCTGCATAAATATCACAAAATTATCGTTTTTGAAAGGGCGATTTCTCAAAAACAGCCAATAAAGGCAGCACTACGACACATTCGGAGAAAAGCAGATACCCTATAGATTCGATTTTAATATGTCAGAACAGTAGCAGCACGTTTTAACTTGGCCATATATGATACCAAACATAGCATATAATTTTCAATTTTATCAACTATGTAGATGTAACATATTTAAAAACGGTTTGGTATTTCAACTAAAGTTACTGGATAATTCATCAAATACTTTTCTCTCTTGGTCATACATCAAAACTGTACGTTCATTAAACTTGGAATAAGAGGCAAATCTTAAAATAACAAAAAATGATTTTACGCCCTATTGTGGATTTTTTTCGGAATTTCGAAAAAATATCGTTTTTGAAAGGGCAATTTCTCAAAATCCGCCAATAAAGGCGGCACTACGACACATTCGGAGAAAAGCAGATACCTTATAGATTTGATTTCATTATGTCAGAACAGTAGCAGCACGTTTTGACTTGGCCATATATAATACCAAATATAGCGTGTATTCAAAATGTTATAAACAATGCAGACGTAACATATTTAAAAAACGTTTGGTATTTCAACTAATTTACTAGATCAGGGGTGGGCAACCTTTTCCGACTCGCGTGCCCAAATCGGCTAAATTTAACGACAAAATTCTTCCGCGTGCCGACCAAAATTAAAAACAATGCTTTGTTACTTTTAAAGCAAAAATACACAATAATAAACCTCCTAAACATGTAAGCTACAGACAGATTCACTATTCGGGAAAATATCAGTCCGACAAATAGATTTGGTTACTTTTCATATTCTATATAGACTTCTGCTACTGCATTGCCATTGACATAGATTTACATTGGAAAAAAGTTACGAACTACTGGTTTCATCTTTCAGGCTACTCCTGTTATGAGACTTGATAAAGCTCATAACTGAGAACAGAAAGCCACAAGCATATGTAGATAAAAACAGGGACGGACTAAAAGTAGGCACTTGCAAATTAGGCACTTTTTTAGGCACTTTGGAAAAAAAGTAAAAAGGGCGTAATACCTTTTAAAAACATAATTAATTAGTTAAAAATGGTCAAATTAAATGTTGAAAACGCAAATTGCAACGGACAAACCTCTAACAATATTTAAAACGTAGTATTAAAGGCAGTCGCACGCGCTTGGTCACCACATATGCTAGGCACATATTTAGGCACATACTTCGAAAAATAAATAAAATGGCAATTATCACTAATAAAAGACAGAGACATAAACATATTACCCACACTGATTAGCCTGGGTAAATACCGGTATCCAATAGATGCACTTGAGTCTAGTACTGGAATTTAGAAATAATAAATTGTTACCGGTAGGCACTTATTTAGGCACTTCGGAAAAAAAGATGAAATGGACGTAGTAACTCCTGAAAAGGTAATGAATTAGTTCAAAATATTTAAATTAAATGTTGAACGGGAAAATTGCAACAGTTAAATCCAATAACGATTTTTAAAACGTAGTATTAAAGGGAGACGCACGCGCTCTGTCACCACGTATGCTAGGCACATATTTGGGCACTTCGAAAAATAAAGAAAATGGCAATTATCACTAATAAAAGACAGAGAAATAAAAATATTACCCACACTGATTAGCCTGGGTAAATATCCAATAGATGCACTTGAGGGTAGTACTGGAATTTAGAAATAATAAATTGTTACCGGTAGGCACTTTTTTAGGCACTTATTTAGGCACATCGAATAAAAGGTGAAATGGGCGTAATAATTTTTAAAATGATAATTAATTAGTTGAAAATTGTCAAATTAAATATTGAACACGCAAATTGCAATGGGTGAACCGAATAACAATATTTAAAACGTAGTATTAAAAAGAGTCACACGCGCTCGGTCACCACATATACTAGACACATATTTAGGCACTTCGAAAAAAGAAGAAAATCGGAATTATCACCAATAGAAGACAGAGAAATAAAAATATTACCCACACTGATAAGCCTGGGCAAATATCCAATAGATGCACTTGAGTCTAGTACTGGAATTTAGAAATAATAAATTGTTACCGGTAGGCACTTTTTTAGGCACTTCGAAAAAAAGGTGAAATGGACGTAGTAACTCCTAGAAAGATAATGAATTAGTTCAAAATATTTAAATTAAATGTTGAACGCGAAAATTGCAACAGTTAAATCCAATAAATTTGAGTTGGGTTGCGCGAGACTAACTTCCTATCTTTTCTCTATGCCTTTATGCTAGTGGATCCGTATGCGTATACTGCAAGGATACTGTAGCTGGAATAAACATGACTATTCTATTCAATTAAAGAGTCCAGCTGCACACTAACACAAATGTATTTCTGTAACGTTTCGTCCGACCAGAGTCAGACTTCCTCAGACAAGCAGTTTACAACAATGGCAAGAAATAAATTTGCTAAATGAATTTGAAATATCAAATCAAGTAAGACGTAACAATGCATAAACATTTAATTTGCATTTAGCCGTAGAAGTAATGATGGGAAGATTAGAACCACAAATATCAGTGGAGCTCATTTTAGATGTAATTGAGAAAAAAAAGAAAAAAAGTTTTATTATTGCATTTACGAAAATGATGGGTAACTAAATGTAATTGAAATTATGGGCACTTAAAGAACCACGAGGAAGTAAACCAACATTTAAACATAAATCAAGGCTTAGTCTGGTGAGGACCAATTTCAAAATTAAAAAAGGTTTAAAGTTATTGCTGAATTTTGATCTTAAATAGCGTTAAAATATAATATTAATTCATAATAATAAATGAATAAATTAACCATCTAGCATATTTCGAGTAGGACAAAGAATAAAAATAAAAAATTTAAAAAATATCGCAAGCACATAACTCCAAGGTTTCGAATTATAATTAAAATTAAACTTGGGACACTTGAAAATAATAGTAAAATAAAACGCCAATCAAGGGGCGAGTAATAATATAAACTTAAGAAAAATAGTGATTGTTAAATTTAAATATTATATGACGTTGAAATGAAAATTATTATTAAATAATAATTCTTAGATCACTCTGCAGTCTATTTCTCCCGTGAATTGTGTCCCTGTGGTTCCAATGTTCCGAATTTGTTGATGTAGTATGCTTCTACTGTTTGGCGATAGCCCTGGTCTCTGAATAGTTTTTTTTATTCCAGTTACTGAAAAGTCACTTATTGAATGTCCCAGTTTGTTGAAGTGTTCTCCCACTACTAAATCATATTTCATTTTCGTAATAAATCCAATATTGACTTTTAAAACGTAGTATTAAAGGGAGACGCACGCGCTCTGTCACCACATATGCTAGGCACATATTTGGGCACTTCGAAAAATAAAGAAAATGGCAATTATCACTAATGAAAGACAGAAAAATAAAAATATTACCCACACTGATTAGCCTGGGTAAATATCCAATAGATGCACTTGAGTCTAGTACTGGAATTTAGAAATAATAAATTGTTACCGGTAGGCACTTATTTAGGCACATCGAAAAAAGGTGAAATGGGCGTAATAATTTTTAATATGATAATTAATTAGTTGAAAATTGTCAAATTAAATGTATAGCACGCAAATTGCAATGGGTGAACCGAATAGCAATATTTAAAACGTAGTATTAAAAGGAGTCACACGCGCTCGGTCACCACATATGCTAGACACATATTTAGGCACTTCGAAAAAAGAAGAAAATCGGAATTATCACCAATAGAAGACAGAGAAATAAAAATATTACCCACACTGATTAGCCTGGGCAAATATCCAATAGATGCACTTGAGTCTAGTACTGGAATTTAGAAATAATAAATTGTTACCGGTAGGCACTTTTTTAGGCACTTCGAAAAAATGTGAAATGGACGTAGTAACTCCTAGAAAGATAATGAATTAGTTCAAAAAATTTAAATTAAATGTTGAACGCGAAAATTGCAACAGTTAAACCCAATAATGATTTTTAAAACTTAGTACTAAAGGGAGACGCACGCGCTCTGTCACCACATATGCTAGGCACATATTTAGGCACATCGAAAAAAAAAAAGAAAATGGAAATAATCACCAATAAAAAAAATAAAATAAAAATATTAGTCAAAATGATTAGCCTGGGACTGGGTGAATATCCAATAGATGCACTTGAGTCTAGTAGTGGTATTTGAGAATAATAAATTGTTACCGGTAGACACCTTTTACCGTGTTTCCCCGAAATTAAGACAGTGTCTTATTTTAAATTTGTTCCTAAAATTACCACTAGGGCTTATTTTCGGGGGATGTCTTATATTTTAATTATTCAAATACAAAATTACAAAGTAAAGAATTAAGATATTTTCAAATATGCAAAATATAAAAACCGATATCATTGGGTTTACTTGTTGCAATTTGCATATTAATTTTTTAATTTAAATATTTTAAACTAATCCATTATCATTTTAAAAGTTATTAGTATTACGCCCATTTTACGCATTTTTAGAAGTGTCTAAATAAGTGACTAAAAAGTGCCTACCGGTAACAATTTATTATTCTCAAATATCACTACTAGACTCAAGTGCATTCATCGGATATTCAAATAGGCTAATTATTTTGACTAATATTTTTATTTTCTGTATTTTTATCCATGATAATTACCATTTTCTTTATATTTCGAAGTGTCTAAATATGTGCCTAGCATATGTGGTGACAGAGCGCGTGCGTCTCCCTTTAATTCTACGTTTTAAAAATCGTTATTGGGTTTACCTGTTGCAATTTCCGAGTTCAACATTTAATTTAAATATTTCGAACTAATTCATTATCTTTTTAGGAGTTACTACGTCCATTTCACCTTTTTTTTCGATGTGCCTAAATAAGTGCCTAAAAAGTGCCTACCGGTAACAATTTATTATTTCTAAATTCCAGT